ACTGAGATGAGCTCTTGGGCAGAAGCTCTTCCCTGTGAGGGTGCTGAGGCGCTGGCACAGGGTGCCCAGAGAAGCTGTGGCTGCCCCATCCCTGGCAGTGTTCAAGGCCAGGTTGGACACAGGGGCTTGGAGCAACCTGCTCTAGTGGAAGGTGTCCCTGCCCGGGGCAGGGGGTTGGAGCTGGATGATCTTAAGACCCCTTCCAATCCAAGCCATTCTATGACCTGAGGCCAAGCAGAGGAAGTTCCCCATGATGAAGCTTTCCTGGGGATACTAAGGGAATTCACTCTCCTGGGCTGTCAATCCTGCATCTTTTAACCAGCCTTGAACTCACTTTAATAACGGAGTGAAGCAATTTCTCATTTCACTGATAACTTGAACTCTGCCTGAAAATAACCCCCCAAATGGAAAATCCAGATGCTAAAGCTTCAAGCCCAATGTGCAAAGATTCAATCCGGTTGAATCAGTAAATTCCTTCATGGAAATTAAAAGCACTAATTGATTTGTGAAAACAGCTTCTGGATGGTGGCTGAACTGGGAGGATTTACAAGCCCTGCTCCTAATCCCCAGCTACTCCAATCAGTGTGACAGGGAAGCAGAGAGGTGCCGTGGATGAATGAGGGGAGACTAAGATTTCTTATTTTGTATCTTTTCCAAGGGAATAAAAGAGCATTTAATGGCCAATTTCTCTCCTCCCGAGGCTATTTCTGCAGACTTCTGAGAGCATTTGGGTATCACCCTGATGCCGTCCACAACCAGGGCAAATGCTCCTCTCAGACACCTTCATGTTAACCCTCTGAATTCACCAAAGCAGCATCGATGGGGTGAAGAGAAACAGGGATGACTAACAAGGAGAAAGGCTGTTTGAGGGGGCAGGGACCAGGCTCTCTTTGTGTTTCATCTCAGTCCTGGGGCTTCCAGGCATGACAACCAAACAAGCAATGCTTAGTCCTTAGCCAGCAAGTCCACGAAGGCTGTGGGAAAGGTAGGAATTGCTGCTCTCAAATACATGGGAGATTCACCTCTCTAAGCACAGTTATTCATACCTGGGTTTAAGAGGTCAGCAACTGGTCCTGCTGCCATGCAAAGCTGTGGAGCCAGCCCAATGGCGCCTGAAACACTGCCATGACCAGAAGCATTAGGAATTGCAGCTTTTAGGGATACAAATGTGTAGTTTAACCAGCACTAGCAGTCTGTAATACTACTCAGACAGGGAGAATCTTGGTGCTGGAGATAAACCCTGGGCTGCAGTAAAAAGGGAGAAAACTTCAACACTAAGTTGGAGACTTCATACAATCACAGAGTGGTTTGTGTTGGAAGGGACCTTAAAGCTCACCCAGTTCCAACCCCCTGCCATGGGCAGGGACACCTTCCACTAGAGCAGGTTGCTCCAAGCCCCTGTGTCCAACCTGGCCTTGAACACTGCCAGGGATGGGGCAGCCACAGCTTCTCTGGGCACCCTGTGCCAGCGCCTCAGCACCCTCACAGGGAAGAACTTCTTCCTTATATCCAACCTCAGTCTCCGCTGTTTAAGTTTAAAGCCATCACCCCTTGTCCTGGGTACCTACCTTTATAAGCAAAGCATGAGACCACCAAGACCAGCTTCTGGTGAGCATTTGCAGGTGGATGTTGCAAATCTGTTTCTCAGTGAACACAATGCTTGGCAAACACTTTTCTATATCAAAGACCAATATGAACACACAAGTGTTGCATTAGAAAACCCTGGGAGGCCTTAGGGGGTGTCCATGGGATGCTTACCTGAAGATGCTCCACTCAGGCTCGATCCTCAGGATAGTCGGATCCTCTACATACTCATACTGCAACTCCTGATGTATCTTGGCTTTGTCCACCCTCACGGACACCTTCACCTTCTCAAAGCCTTCATCTGAGGCAGTGGTGTTACAGACAATGTGCTTGGTGGATCTCCTGTGAGCAGAAGTAAATAAATGTAAACCAGATGTCACCAGCAGCAAAAAACACTTGCCAAAGAACCCGGCTACTTATTCATATGTCCTGTGACCTTAACCTATGCGCTGTGAAGTGGTGGAACTCACTGCTACAGGAATACACTGTGAGTAGTGTAACACATTTACCTGAGGAAGTGACATTGCCTTTTCACTACTTTAAATAACACCCCAAAAGCCACAATTTCTCATGTCCCAGAGTGAAAAATGAATCCCAAGGGAAGTCCAAACCAGACCACTCTCCACAAGTGTTTCTGTGTGATTAAATCCCTGATGGATGTTTCCTTCCTGCCTGCAGACATATTCAGCAGCAGCTCATAAAGAGGGGTGTTTGTACCTCAGCTTTCCAGTCTGGGATAATAAAGTTAACTTTGCATTAGGATTGTAAACCTTGTTTAAGTGCAGTTTGCAGCGTGCCTGGGACCTTTGCATGGAAGGTGCTGATATAGTGGGAAGCATTTTATGACTAGACTCAAAGATGATTCTGCATTAACCTTTTCTTTTGGCCAGCTCCAGGTCTGAACATCCCATAAAGAGCAAAAGATCCAGGCTCCAAACACCCTAAATCTTCCCAGATTTGTGATTTGTGGTGCAGCCTTGTCTTATACTCCTAGAAAGCACAAAGCAAGGTGCATCCTTCCCTTGCAGCAAGGAACTCACTTCACTGACTGTACCCTCCTAATGCTCTCCAAATTCCCATGAAAGACTAAGCTCAATCCTTCCTAAAACTCCCCAGTATCTTCAATAAGCATCTCCAAGCAGCTGTGGTTCCCTCTTGGTCTTCTAAATCACAACTTGTGATTTCCCCCTCCTGAATTATAGATGCTAAATCACACCACAGCCATGACAGGCAGCTAAACAGGATCCCCACAGCCAGGAGAAGGAAGGGCATTGTCCCAAGTCAGTGGTACCAGGTCTTCTGTGAATGAGCCCTTCTTCTGCCAAGGATATCTGGGAGAAATGTGCCAACTTCATCTTCAGCCTCCACTGATATTGGCAGCAAAACATATTGCACTGGGTAGTTCTGAGCTGCGGGAGCCTCTGGGAATGGGATTCAGGCTCATTCTCACAGGGATCAGGGAACATTCAGCAGGTAACATTGACATTAAGCCTCTCTGAACTGCGATTGAACAGGAGCCAACCCAGAGCTAAAATGTGGCAAATCATCCATTTCTTAGCACTACAGGACTATTCTGGGATAAAAGGGAGGTGTTTTAATACTTAGCACCGATGTTGTCAGATTTTCTTTGACACCTCTGCTAAAGCAGGGACATGAAAATGGATCTTTCAAACAACATTCATAGTCTCTGAGCAAGTAGCAAAGCAAAGGCCCACAGAGAATTGTAGTGAAATTTGACAAGGAGCCATGGAAGAAAACACATCAAATACAGATCAAAACAATGAGATAAATCCTGTTCTCCCACCCCAAAACATGCACAGCAAGGATATGCATGGTGCAGAATGCAAAAGTCCCACTGCGGAATGAATAGACATGGCCACAGGCAAAGGAGGTGCTTGAGGGACAGGGACTGAGGTGTCTCGAATGTAATTGCTCACGTCTTCAGACTCAAGCACGTGCAGGAGGAAGGACTCATCTGTACCTGTAGAAGAGGCAGGGTTGTCGCCCAAAGGTCACGATGACATTGCTGCCCGCATTGAGGTTGTTGCCTGTGATTGTCACTTGGGTGCCACCTGACACTGGTCCCCGCTTCGGCTTGAGATCAGAGAGGGTCAGAGTCTGTGAAGGCAAAAGGTCGTGTTGAAAGCACAGCAGAGAAGCATTTTAGGGATGGAGAGAGGCAGGTACTCTCAGGGGTTAATCATGTGTTAGGTGGACTTCAGAAGACAACCATTGCTTCTCATCAATGGAGGAGCCTAGGGTTGATACCAGTCCTAACATAGATGCCCTGCTTGAATGCCAAGTTGGTGGGATGAATGCAGACCTAACCCCATCTGTTCTCCTTACTCCTGCAAAATCAAGACTACGCCTGGCCCACCTCAGAAATACTCTGCTTGCAAAGTCCGTTCCAGGCCTGGAGCAGCTGGATCCATGATCTCCCACCTCCACTGCTTGTTTGACACAGCTCAGGTGTTGTCTTTGCCATCACGCAACACCAGCTCTGCAAAATAAACTGGGTCCTGAACTGGCTGATTGGATCTTGATGGGGACTCTCCGTCCCCAAACTGTGAAGCTCAAAAGATTGCTCTGAACCGTACTGATCTGAGAAGGTAACAGAACCTGCTCTACAGCTCCAGAGAGATGCCTAAAAACTGCCCCTGTGTTCATGGGCTTTTTCCCGTGGGAAGGAGGAGAGCTGTGATTTAGCAGAGCATCTGAGCTCATGTCTTGCCTTTCCCACCTCATGACCCCAGATCTTTCTCTTTTAACAGACTTGGATGCTGAGACAGTCTACTACTCATGAGTGTCCTGCACTGATACAGTGTAGTGGTGCTCATGTTAAGATGTACTCTGAAATACTACAGCCACAAAAGGAGCACTGTCCCCATGAACTCCGTTTTCCTTTCTCTGCTGATATTCCAGGCCTCCTTCCTAAACACGACACAGTGCTGTGTTAATACAGCAAAAAAAGGGGACAATTCCTTTAGGGGCTCCGAATCTCAAACCTCTTTTTCTTACCCCCCTTCTCTCCTTTCTTTTCCAAATCAAGATAAAACACTTGCATTCTGAAGGCACAGATCACCCTGTTACCACAATGCGGAGAGGAGACATCCATTTTCAGGGAGAAATTTGGAGTTACAGTTTATTCTTTCATTTGCATTTTAATAGAAAAACTTTCTATTCAGTCCCAAGTGAAAAGCTACTATATGCATTTAAATGAAGACTATTTCCCCCTCCCTCCTCTTTAAGAAGGATGACACAAATGCTCAAAGCTCTCCTCAGCTCCTCTGAACAAGTAGGTGCATCGCGCGGTCACCTCATTGAGCTTTGGAAACCATTAATCCATGTTTATAAACCCACCTTACACACACCACAGCTCCCTCTTTCACATATACAGCTCCCTCTCTGTCCCTGGCCCTCTCTGGGTAATCATTTTGAAGAACAGCAGCAAGGTTTTCACCTTGCTTTTGTTCTAAATGCAGCTGCCTCATGGAGAAAAGGCTGAACACGAAAATCAGACAGACAGCTCTGTAGTATAATCTCTTGTCAGAGCTGGACACTTCTTGTGTTTAAACTTGACTGGTTTTGACATGATGGTTTGGAAACTGTTTTTATACTTTTCTAATATTCTCTAACAGCTGTTACTGGGATAAAAGATGCAGGAAGAGTATGTAGATGCAAAAGATGAAGGAAGAATATGTAGATGCAAAAGATGCAGTTCAGTATGCAGTGCTCCTCTTCGTTTAGGGTACCGCCTCATGCTCTGATGGCATCTCCTCTTTAATGCCTTGTTGATGGCCTCCCCCACCAGCACATTACTGCTGTTGTTGTGAGAAAATGGGTTGAGAATGGCCAACCTGGTGCACAACAGCTACAAACCATAGAGGAACACTTAAGTTAAAGACCCAAAGCCCACTCCTGGGTGGGTTTTATTCCCTCTCCTCAGAGGTAGACAAACATAGCCATGCCCTTTTGGGGGTCCTTGCAGACCAAACCTACCTTGGCTTTAGCTCCTTGCTAAAGCACTGCTGTGTCTCATGCCAAGCTTACAAAAGGATTTGTGTCTCAGCTTTCAAAGTTGCAATAAACCATTAATTATTCACAGTGGCCTTCATAAATATTGCACAGCATGTTTGCAGTGAAACTCAGCCTCCAGACTATTGACCATTTCCTTGCTGGTGATGGAAAATGCAAGCGGGTCTGGTGGGTCTTTAGCAGGCTGAAGTGGACAGTGATAATGAGGGTAAGAGGAGAGGACATCTTCTGTACCTTTCTAGGAGCTTGCCTACTTTCCTCTGCTCTCCAACCCCTCTCTTTCCTCCAGTACCTCCTCCAAACAGGCTGTACACATAGAAGGTGCCACCAGAGCTGTGTCTAAACTGACCTCATGAAGCATATCAAGACATTGGTTCCCAATTCATTTCTCCCTGGGACAAGGGCAGAGCAAGACGTGACACACACAGTGTGTGTACATGGGTTTCCTTTCTATAGGTCCGACAGTAGCAGTGGGAAGGGAAGGATGGAAGGAAGACCTGTTGCAAACGCTACCCTGGAAGAGGATTTTAGGAGCAGACCCAGAAGAGTTGCAATCAAAGGAGCCACATCACCTGCACTGAGCCTAATATGCTCATCCAAAGCCAGAACAAAGGCAAACTTGCTTCAGTATCTGAACTGAAAAGTGAAGGGAAACCTTTTATTGATTGAAAGACCATGGAAATTATCATAGCAACAAAATGAATAGCTGAAAATAATTCTTCTCATTTAGATCATTATAAATTTCATTTCATCATAGATTTCATTTCAGCCTGCAACCAAATGCTTTGTTTCCCTTTTGGCTTACTGTGCTCTCTAATGCAATTTGCATTTTTGATCACAGATGAGTTTAAAGCAAACTAACAGCATTTTGAATGTAAAAGTTCTGGCTAGAAACGTGGAGAAGAACTGTTCTAGCATCTCTAAACTAAGCTGCCTCTTTTTTAGAACACTGAAATGAAATACCCTGGTGAGTTCCAAACAATGTCTCTTTCAATTCTTGCAGGAGAAGGGAAGACTGAACCTATTGGCCAAATGTGACCCTGTTTTGCTACCAACCTTTTGAAAAGCAATTTTCCACTGGATTTACCATGCATCAGAAAGTGACATTTATCTCCTATGCAATGCCCTTCCTTCGTTTTCAAACATCTTCTTTCCCTTCAAGCTGCCACCCACCACTGCAGGATGCCAAGGCACATTGTGACGCCTGCAATAACATCTCTACAATCCTGGCAGGACCATTGGAGAAATCCAAACCACACCAACAAACACAGCTCCTGCTATGAAAGCAATGGATGCAGGAAAGAGCATGTGACGGGCAGGCTGGAGAGCGTCTGTATCATTCTGTCTAGCACGAAGGTATCAAGGTATTCAGCAGAGAAAACCCTGTTGACTTTATGCTCATGCATGGCTGGGATAGCTGGCAGCAGGAAAGGCAGCAAGCAGAGGGAAAAGCTGTCACTGATGGACACACATGATCAAAATCAGACAGTAATTCCAAGAGCAGCAAAGGTGACACGCTGAAGTGTAATGTCCTGGAAAGAGCCCTTCTGTATGCCCAATGGGAGCTATCTCTCAAGGTATTTCTCTGCCCTCACCACATGAGTGACATTGGCAGATACAAAGAATAGAGGAATTTCTGTAGCTCAAGTGAGAAAGAGAAGATTTTGCATTCATTACCAGTTCCCTTTACCTTAAAAAATGCTTGGGCATATGACTAATTTCAGAAAGGAGCGTTTCACTTGAAGGACTTGAGAGCTTTTGACGGGAACAAAGAGGCCATCTCATCTCAAACCTGCACAGATCAAGGCCAGGCAATGCTTGCATGTGCCCAGCATGCTTGCATGTCCCCCCGAGGACAAGGGGCCTTTGAGGAACAAGCAGGTCTCTTGGACAAAGAGCACTGTCAGAAAAGAGCAAAACCACAAGTTGAACGTACAACACATGTTTGGTTCCACTCTTTCACCACAGCAAAGAGACAGTCTGAAGTTGAACTTGCACCAGTATAGGCTGGAATCAGACCTAGAGCCCCTCTGACTGCTTTGCAAGCTTATGTCCCCACAGACAGCATAAAAAGCCCATTTGCCAGCTCCAGCAATCTAAATGGAGGAGTGTGGCTGCTGTCCAAGTGCCATCAGCACACACTGAGTGGAACTTGTGTGTGTTGCTATCCCTATGGACTTCTGATTTCAACTCCAAATTCCTCATGGCTAAGTCCTCTCTCCAAACCACCCCCTTTAAAAGCTAACCCAAGTTCAAGTTTGCTGGTGTCTATCGTTACACCGAACAGCATCCAAAACAGTTTCCCACTTACACTGAGCCCCAGTGGTGCTCTACAGCTTACTGGAAGCCTGAGCAGTGAACTAGTCCCTCCTGATCTAGTGCTGTTCCTGAACACCCAAAACACCATCTAATTCAAACACTCCTTCAATGCTACATCTTGCAGAAACACCTACCACTGCTATGGTAGCCGGGGAATTTTTGTCCTTGCTAACAAAAGGCCATGGGTTTTGCACTAACACACCATCACTAGGACTCAGGATGTGTCTGTGCTCACTGTGTCCTGAGCTGGGTGTCCCTGTGGTCACAAGTGTCCCATGGCAAAGGGCCTCCTGCCCGATCTGCCTGAGCTCAGGGATGGGGACATCCGGCATGGCCAAGGGCTGCCATCCTGGCCAGGCTCGGTCCTGCAAACACCAGCCCTTTGCGTGCCCAGGGTAGGTGCTTGGGGTAGATACCCCAAGAGTGAGGAGGACGAAACCCCACCATGGACATCGCACTCCTCCCAGGGAAGACCTCAGGATGATAATGACTAATGTCAACCCCCATGTTTCTCCAGGAATACACCGGTTCCTTCAACTGTAGGGCCTGGAGGGATACTGGTAGGGTGAGCATCACACCCTGGAGAAGAAGTAAGATATATGGGAAGGGTTTTTTTTTTCCTTTTTCTTTTTTATAGCATTTTTTAACTATTAATGAGGATTTTCTGTACTAATTTGGACCATGACTGTACGTAACTGTAATTGGGTTAATAATCAGGACTATTATTAGATTGCTAAAACATTAATTAGGCAAGCTATTTTTGCTCCTAACAAGAGTTTGAAAGGAAATGGAAGGAATCAGTACATTGCTGCACTCAGAACGGCAATGAAGAGCTCAGAGGCTGAATATGGCCAAAGACAATGGATAGATGTAGCAAAGGGGACAAGGGACTGAGGACCTTCAAGGACGAGAAGAACTTCTTGCAGCAGCTTACCATAAAGTAGTAGAGCTGTGAAGACCTGGCCATGAACTCTGGTTTGCACTCAGCCACACAGATTTCCACAAATCCGGCATGCTGGCTGGGCTTGGCTTCCCCCATCTCACACACTATCCTGTGGAGAAAAGATGAACCAGAAGCAAGGTTTAAGGGATGGTTTGGGCGGTCTGGGTAAAGATAGAATTGGAGCAAACAACTCACAGTGCTGGGGAATGGACTGTAGACTTAACCTATCCTCTTCTTCCCAACCCAGAAACCAAAGTGTGGACTAAGTGATTCTTTACAGAGTGGTGGCTTTTGGCTGTTGGCCTTTGGTGAGACAAATCATGGAATTATAGAATCAGAATCCCAGACTGGTTTGTGTTGGAAGGGACCTTAAAGCTCCTCCAGTTCCAACCCCTGCCACGGGCAGGGACACCTTCCACTAGAGGAGGTTGCTCCAAGGCCCTGTGTCCAACCTGGCCTTGAACACTGCCAGGGATGGGGCAGCCACAGCTTCTCTGGGCACCCTGTGCCAGCGCCTCAGCACCCTCACAGGGAAGAACTTCTGCCTAAGATCTCATCTATATCTACCCTCTTTCATCTGGTGTAAATGATTATCTGGGGTAAATCAACATAATTTCACTTAAATATACAGACAATGCTAGGCTGAGGTTTGACCCCAGGGGTCCCTCTGTCCTCCAGCCTTGCATGGTGGACGACTTTGCAGCTATAAGGGTTAATGATGTCTCCTGCATGTGCTAAGCTGCTTCTTGGGACTGCTGCCCCCCAGACAGGTATTGAACACCCTTGTGTTATGTGAAAAACAGAGGATAACTTCAGGGCATGTGCCATGAGGATTATCTAAATGTGCAACCCAAATACTGTAATAAATGGATTATTAGCTCCTGTATGGTAGGAATGGCATCTTCCATTCATCCTTTTCAATGCTGGGTGGAATGGACTCCTTAGAAGACCCTACAGGTAGCAATGGTTGTTGTACTAGGTGTGCTGTGGCCCACTGTTTGCCACACACCCAACTTACTGCTCTGCTGGGATGTACCCTTCCACCAGCGGTTTGCACTCCACTCCGGCCACTTTGACGTGAGATGCAATGTCTCTGAACTCCAGCCCCAGGTTCTCCCCACGGATGGTCACTTTGGTCCCACCTTCACGAGGCCCCGTCACTGGGTTGATCTGGAGAAAAAGCCAAGACAAAGGAGAATAACCAAACCACCCGTGTACAGACAACAGCATCCTCTCAGGTGTAAGAAGAGGCAACAGCAAGTCTCTTTGTGACTACTAGAGACATTCACAGTTATGAATGCTGAACAACTAAAGGAATAAACCTGCTCCAAATACATTACTTGGTCCAAATACATATCACACATGCCCCAACATCAGAGTATATAAAGTTCTGCCCCAGGTTCCATTTAGTCTCTTTTAATTACTTGCAAAGCATACAGAGATGAGTATGAGATGTTTTCTAGGTAGGAGGAGGGTTTTCTGGTGGTGCAGCTGAGCTCTGCACTTCATAGACATAGAATCATAAAATCAGAATGGAAAGGACCTTAAGATCATCTAGTTCCAATGAGCCATGGAAAGGCAGAAAAGGGGCCTGGTGGAAAGAAATGGGAGGAAGAACAAGAAAAGGGCACAAATGGTTTCAGCCAGTCACTTGAATCCCAAATTCCCAGCCCAAAGCACGTGGAGTTTTTGATCTGTTCTGGAGGAAGGTGTTGGTCATGCATCACAAACTCAGCTGAACATGTCCACCTGAAAGAAACAGCTGAGGCAACAGAAACGGCATTTCAGATTAGGTGTGGAGTGGGTGGATGGTGACTAAGACAGCAGCAGTTGCTGTGTGCCAACATCTATTTCTGAGAGAGCTCCAAATGCCCTCATGGAGAGCTGAGGCCAGGGGAAGGGACATGGGAGCATGGACAGCTTCTTTGTGCGGTGGACAGCCCCGGAACCCCAGCATGGATGAGTGGCCATCACAACCATCCCAGTGGCTGGTGGCATGATGTTTGCATCTCATACTGGACCTTCTCCTGATCTTAGCAGGGATAGGATCATTATGTCTTTCTTGTGTTGGGCAGCAGAGCCAAAGCATGACCCAAACTCCAAAGCTCAGCTCTCCCTTCGACTGCAGAGCCTCACCCTGCACCCAGAGCTATCTGTCTATGTGCAATATTTCTGGCCCATTCTGCGTCACATCCATCACCCTTGTTCAGAGCCAGGTGGAAATCAGCATCGGAGATGTCTCCTCAATATTGAACAACACATAAATCACAGGGCTGGCCCTTAGTTCTCTGTTCTGCCCTTCCAATCATTCACTGTGCCCAAATGCTTTGCCATACAAGTGGATAGTTGAAAGGGCTTTCAGGAGTTGCTTTCAAAGGGCATTCCCTGCTGCCCACTCTGGCTGCCATCTGCCACCATTGGCAAGGCTTTGTCTGCAGTGATGAAGGGGGAATTCCCTGTCTGAGGTCCCTACCCGATGCCCAATGGCTTTGCCAACTGGGAATCTCGGGTTGGCAGAAAGACCTTTGCATAGCAGTTGAACTGGAAGGGAAAATTGAGGCACTGGCACAAGCGGTGTTGCTTGTGACCACTTCCGAGTGCTGAGGCTGGCATCAGGGTTAGACTCATTTCCAATCAGAGGTCAGTTTTTAGAAGGTCCATCTTTAATAACAGGAAATACCTTGGCATCTTTAAGGGATATTTAATTTAGGATATTTAGTTTTAGGTGCCATGAACCACCTCCTGAATGTGTCTTTGTTCTGACTATCCGCGGAATCAACAGAGGTTAACAAATACAGAGCACAGATGATTGCAGACAAGCCCTTGGATCAGTAGCGTTGTGTTGTGTACACACAACCTCTGCAGCACAAGATCCCTGCAGCACCCTGGTCTCAGGTCCAACACCCACATATACCACTTAAGCCAACAAAATCAGAACCATAGCAGGTTTATTCCTACTCCAAAAGTCAACAAGACACTGAAGTCCCAAAAAGAAAATAGCACAACATTCATAAATGTGAAAGGTGAAATGACCATTTGGGTTGGCTTTGACCTTTGGATAGTCTGTGGTGATGAGATTGGTGGACTAGTGGAAAATGGATAAGAAGAGAAAGAAAGAGAAAGGCATTTGTGGTTATTGTCTATGAAATGAAGAAGGTATCTTTAAAAATTAGGATGAAAATGGAATTTCTATTCCAGGAGAAACTAATCCCAAATGTTTCAGTGGGGGTCTCAACATGGAAAACTTCTTTCCCAAATATGGGAAATGCAACATATTTTCATTCTGAATCATTAATAAATATCCAAGCAAAGTTTTCTGTTTGAAATACTCATTTTGCTGACATTAGTTAATCCTCTCCTGATAAATCACTGTATGAATGATGCTGGAAGGCTACAATATATCACAATATATCAAATGCAATCTAATAAGTGCTCAAAATGAACAAGTTAAAAAAAAAGATAGACTAAAAGTCCTATAATTTGTTTTATTTTCTTATTCCCATGGAATATTTCAATTCCATTTTGCTGTATTAAACCTGCCATCAGATGGTTTTTACTTGTTCTAGTAAGGTAGGTGTCTAGCAAGCTAGATCTGTGGTTAATTAGGGCTCACCTGTGCTTGAAAGAGCTTGCTAGCATGGGCTGTACATCCCATAGCAGAGCAAAAGAGGATTTTTTCTCTCATATGACTTATGCCATTACCCTGAATAAAAGAAGGTGTAGTGGTGAAAAGGAACATCTTTCTGGAAAGGCCCATTTTTTGGAACCAAGGGTGAGTTTGAGACAAAAGTTTCGCTGCCAAAGTCACAAACAACTCAGCGGAGACATTATGATCCCTCTTCCATTTCTGTCTAAAGCACGAGATCTTTATAAATCCTTGCTTCAACTCAGAAAGCATCTACAGGAAACTTCATAGAGTAAAGCCAGCACAACACTTCTGAACACCTCCCCTGGGTGATCTTTAATTGGTAAAGGCCAGCTTCAAAACCCACTTATTTCCTTAAAACAGGAGGGCCTGGGATTCTCCCAGCAGCATGTGGGAGATGTCTTAACCCCAGCCCATTGCACTCCCAGGGATGCGTACCAGGAGAAGGTGTTACCACTCCGTTTCACAGCAAGAGAGAAGGAGGCTGTTTCTATCACAGGTGCAAAAATATGGAACAAGACCTGTCAAGACTTTTTGGGAGAGAAAAACACAAGAAAGGATACAAATGGTGCCAGGAAGCCTCAGCTTTCTCTTGAAGACCCAGAGCTGTGACACTGCATTACAATTTACACCCTCCGCTCATATGGGCCCAGTGCTGGAGCTTTGTCACTCCTAAAGGAGGTTTTGTGGCAATATAAATGCAAGAGCTAGTAAGTAAGTGCAGGTTATAGGAAGCTCTGTGCTGGGTATGTGTGTGTGCATGTGTAAGTGTGAGTACATGCGTTGTTTCTCCTTTGCCCGCACATATACTGCCCTGGCTCCTCGTCAGTATATGCATGCTCTTACCAACCGCTCCAGATCTACCATTAGCTGCAATATATACCCAGTCACTTGAGATTACTTCCATGCTAATGGCTCAGAAAAAGACTTTCCAAGAGCTACTTATGATTGCACCAGACAGCTGGAATATTTCATGGGTGAATATTGCAATGATCTGTTCGAGCCTTGGGAGCTGTTGGAGGAAATGCCAGCAGAATTAGAGCTATGTCCCCTCTGGAGCTGTAGGGTGGAGAATGAGTGCTTTGCAGTTCATAAAGAGACTGGAGATGCAGGGTTGTGGGCAAAACATGGCAGAGAAATGCGGGTGGATCTTCAGGACATCATACTACTGCATGGTCCTTGTGTTTTAGACTTCTTCTTTAGTTAGTCATTGTAGAATCATAGAGTCATGGGATGGTTTGGATTGGAAGGGACCTTAAAGATCGCCTAGTTCCAAGCTGCTGCCATGTCAGCTTCCCAATACCAAATTATCTGAATGTGTGCAAAATGTATGAATCTTTCTCAAGGTTTGAGAATCTGGAAAGATTCAAAAGAAGTTTTCCCCATCTCCCAACTATTTTCAAGACCTCAAAGCTGAACTTTCAGAGATAGCTGCTCATTCTGGCTGTCTGGGTTTGGTTTCACTGCTTCAGGTGGTTGTGGCAGGCTCAAAATACCAGCCCCAAATAAATCCAAGTGTGGTGGAGACTTCCACCTTGGAAACATCAGAATAAGCCTGGAACTTCAGTGGTTCAACTGAATGAGTACCTCGGGGACAATGCCCCTTGTTTGGGACTAATGAATGACAGGAAGACAGATCAAAACACAGTAGGAGGGGTTACTTCCAGTGGCATCTGGGAATAACAGATTCTACCCAGTCTTTGCTTTCACAAAACTTTCATGCATGGACATTGCTTTAGGGCTCATCCATAACATGCAAACATTTTGATTCTTAACCAAATATAATTGAAAACCATTTCTTGCTTTCTAGGAAAATAACCCACCTGATTATTCATATTAGACCAAAACCATGGAGGTTGGATTTTCCTCCTTTACATTTCCCCTTACCTTCTCTGTCTTATTTCCCTCCTTACTTTTCCCATTTGCAAAATAAGTCCCAAGCCACCCTGAAAGGATACTCATGTTAACTAAGATATGGTGACTGAGAAATACTTAAAGCAGGAGGAAGCTGATAAGGATGGAGCACTCATTTTCGAGGCTCAAATCTGTCCTGCTGTGTGCCCTGTGACCATGAAAATGGTGCATGTCATTATGACAAAGCATCCTTAGACAGCAGACAAAAATCCCTTTAGACTGCAGGCATGATTTTCCTCCCTTACCTTCTCCTCCTTCCTCTGCTCCTTCTGCCTATGGTCTTTCAATTATCTTACCTCCTCTTTGTACCTATCCCCCAGCTCTTCCTTGAGTGTAGTCAACACAATCAATAGGAAACCTTCTGAAGAACACTGTTATCCTGCAGGTCCCTCCCTCCAGCCTTGCCTTCAATCTCTTCATCACTTAATAGGAGTTAATCACTAAACTTTGTTTAGCCCAGGCTTGATTTTGCCTCATCCTTGAGCCTTCAAAGGGGGAAAGCTGACAACTGTATGGAGCTTTGTTTGCTCTGTGGGAACTTCTTTCACCATGCAAAATCAACCAGGCAAACAGAAGAGCATTACTCTGATGGAGTCACTGGAGTCTTGTACACTGACATTGTCCATGTCATGCTGCCAGGAAGCACAAACTACAACCTGCCCCCTTCCTTGACCTCCTGTCAGCACAGCTCAAACCTCTCTGGGATCACTTAACATCTCCATCTCAGCCAGGCTGGGCAGAGAGGCTGTTTCAAGACAGTTGGGCTCCCCTGACTACCCTCACATTGTCCTGTTGAGATGGCCCAGAACATCTTGTCTCACCTTTAGCTGTTCCTCTAGAAGGCCAAGGTCTCACGAAGTCTTCATGTCACATCAACCAGCCCTGTGTTGGCAGGTCAGACACTATGGGCCTCCAGCAGACAATATAGAACTGATTCATGTCCACACTGAATACAGTGGGAACTCTGACACCCTGCTCAGATGTTGTAGATACCTGAAACTCTGTGCCCACCTTTGAAGGCCACCATAACCTCCCATCCCCAAGGGTACCTGTGGCTTTGCTTGACTCAGCAGAACCCAGCCCTTACCAATCCAAAGAGAAACCAGGAAAATAACCCAAGGAAAGGGTATGAGAGGGAATACCCCAACTTCTTGCAGATCCATGACTTACATCCGTGATCTTCGGGTTGGTGCATTTGCCCTTGGTGCTGGACAGCTCCAGCCACTGGCTGTCCTGGGCTGGACAGTGCTGCTTCAGGGTGCACTGATTCTGTCCCTCACACCAACCGCACTCGAAGTCAGGGTCAGCTTTAAGGCAGAGTCCGCAACTGTCCCGCATGGCCCCGCACTTGTACAGGTGAACTGCAGGGATAGGAAAACAGAGAGGACCTCAGAGATGCAGATAGCACAGGACAGTGGTGGGATGAAGGCAGAATGAAGAGCGAGAGAGGGGAAGGTGTTCTGTGATGCTTGTTCCAGAGGCAGGATGTAAGGGGGTGAATAACAGAGGGAAAATGTTTACATCCATCTTGAAATCATAGAATCACAGATTGCTTTGGATTAGAAGGGAACTTACTCAAAGCTCATTCAGTTCCAACCCCCTGCCATGGGCACGTTCCACTAGACCAGGTTGCTCCAAGCCCTGTTGAGCCCCACTGAACAGAAATAAACTGCAGCTGTCAGAGTCAATACCCATGAAAAGGATATTTGGAAGCCAAGAGAGGATGGCGGTGTGAACATGGGCTGTGCCATGCTGCTGGATGCCAGGGCTAGACAAGGATCTCCATCCAGCCTGTTGCGTTTACTGCGTGGACTTAACCTTCAAAAGCCACTGTTTTGGGGAAGTACAGTGTAGGACTTTTTACATTCAGACTGGCTATTTGAGCCATCAGATAAAGTCATCACAGAGGTGGGTGCAGGGGGAGATGGATAGGAAGGGGTCATGCCATGGGAAGAAGAGCTGCCTTCTGTATTGCTCTCCAGCTTTAGTGTGGCGTTGGTGCAAACCTCACCCTCAGCATGAGGGTGGACTTGAAACTGTGAGAGGAACAAGGGAGTACCTGATGGGGTGAGATGGAGTGGGAGAACATGTGGAAAGTGTCCAGGAAAAGAGAAAGTAAAACAAGGGAGGGAGAAACGTCTGAGAGGTGGTCATGTGAGAAGGAGAATCTGCAGGTCTGAGCTGTAAATGCAGAGCATCCAGGTTGCCTGGGGAAAGGCTTCAGGGTGGCTGAGGGTGATGAACAAGAAGGAAGAAGAAGATGTGAATGGACCATCCATCTCCAGCAAAAATGCCTGCCTCAGGGTCATGGCTGGATGTGCAATATCCCTTTGTGAGGGGCACATCAATCTTGTGTCACCAGAGGCAGTTAAACAGAGCCAAGCTTTGGGCAGGAGGTGGGTTTGGGTCCTTTGCCATAATCATTGTATTTTGTTCAGAGTTCTCCCATGGGCAAGCTGTGGCCCTTCTCCTCCTCCTCTCCCTTCCCCTCTTCATCACTACATTGCCTCTAAGCAGAGCACACCCCATCTCCTGGCATGTTGAAGAGCATCACCACAGGAGAAACAAAGAGGAGGAGAAAGCTGAAGAAAGAGGGGCATAAAACCAAGGCACAAAAACGTGGGGAGAAGCAGGAGGCGAAGATGATGAAGGAACAGGGGAAGCAACACAAGTGGGAGGGAGAGTCATACTTTGCAAAGGGGAGGAACACACGACACAAAGCACACCAAGAAATGGTAATTTGCAGAGTGCAGAGAACAACTATGTACCAGACAGCGCTGGGAGGTGGTGGCAGCTTTGTTAAGGGTAGGGAGCGATGCGGCCCGTTGCTAAGGTTACCGCTTCCAAGGACAAGTTGAAATAACTCTTTACCTTTGTTCTGTGCTGGGTTGTCAATGTTGAAATTCCCATTCCACACGACCGTCAGCTCCACCGGCAGGCTGTTAATCTCCATCCCTTCATAGGAATACTGAAGTGGGAGAGGAAAAACAAGAGAAACCCCAAACCCAGCTTAGATGGTGCCCTGAGGTGGGGAGGGGATGGGAGGCAAGTTGTGAACAAGAGAAACAGAGCTGGAAGCTACCTCCCTAACCACCATTTACCTGCAAGAAAGCCATGGGATGCTGTCGAAGTTGTGGGGCTCAAAAGAGCAAGCTGTGCCCCTCTGAGTAGCCTACTTACACATTAGGTGACTATTCCATGATTAAAGTGCATTTACATATAGAATAGAATCAACCAGGCTGGAAAAGACCTGCAAGATCATCAAGTTCAACCATTACCCCAGCCCTGCCAAGGCCACCACTAACCCCTGGCACTGAGGCCTCGGCTCCACTGGCTGGGGCACCTTCACAGGTGCGGTGGC